ACCTTACTATCTTCCTTTTTATTATGAAGAGCGTTGAGAGAAGGGAGTCTTACGATCAAATCCTGAGAAATACCACACGGTACATGTATTAGGTCTTTAGGGAAATCGCTAAGTAGCGAAACACGATGGTTAAAGCAGAAATTCACAACTTGTCTTTACATTGTGTTAAACTATTTAAAGCCGAATAATTGTCTTCTCTGTTATTTCTTTTAATCCTAGAAAATTGAAATGCCGTAAAAGATATTGTAATTTTTCCGCAAGAATACTACTAGACTTACGGAAAGGACTTGATAGAATAATGGTCTATTAAACCAAACACATCATCAAACTTGATAGCAGGCTCCAGAAATAATTTCTTGTTATTCTGGATAATTCTCAAAGAAACAACCTTACGCTCGTCCTAAACACATATTGGTTTCATTTATCTACATAAAAACAGTGAGAACCAGAAAACTGTGCAGAAATAGGAAGACGACATTAAATTAAAATTAAGGTGTATTGCATACTGTTTCAACGCAAATAGTGTTTAGGTGTATGCCAGGAAGACAACATTAAATTTAAATAAAGGTTTATTCGATGCTGTTACTATAGTAGCTTAATTTTGTTGAATTAAAGTATTAAATTTGTTGTCTGAGTTCACTGAATAATAAGCTGGGTTCATGTTCATTGAAATATCTGAGTTAAAAACTTGAGTCTAAAAGTTATCATTGTATTGTTTAAACTGTAAAAAAAACATTATTATGAAAAAACTGGAACTGAATAGTCCCAGGTACCCAATTTTAGCAAAGTAAACAAGTTTGTTTCCGATACAGTTAACACTGTGGTTTATAGGTCTCACGCTCTCAAGTAAACATTCATGAGAATTTTGCCAATTACTTCTTAAAAACCAAAACTAACAACAAGTGCTTTATAGTGTTAAATGTAGATGTAAAAGGCTAAAGAAAAGCATAAGTGAGTTAGAGCGGTAAAATCTAAGCCCAAGACGTAGCGACACTTCAAAGTCGACCCTGTCTTAAAAATTGATGAGATTGTTTATAAACAGACTGAATATATGTAACAGGGTCAACGATACGACTGTGCAACCTTATAAACTATTCAAAGTCTTCAATTTCACTCCCAGATTGAGCGAGAAAAATAAACTTTGGTATAAAATTTAGTTTGATAAATTGTCTTATATGGTCAGAAATCTTTTTAAAAAAATACAACATTCAAACTAAAACTTTTTGTCAACGTTGTAATCGTAAAGTGACGTATCTAATTATTATAATGGAAGAAATATATCTAAAAGTTAAACCTGTCTTGAATCCAGAAGTATGAGGAAAATATCTCCGTGGAAAGAATGGATTGCAAATTGACCAGATTCAAGATGTTCTTCTGTATTCAATTAAAAAGTAAAAAAACCTCGAATAAAGATAATCGCAAATTCACTTTGCTCATATATCTTTCTCTAATAAATTATTTTTAAAAATATATTTAAATGCACTTTTTTGCCTGTTTGATAGATGTAGCTTTGCGCCCTAAAAACAAAAACTATTTTTTTCTTTCTAAAAATGTTCAATTTATTAACCTGGACACAGCCATTTCTCCTGCAAACCATGGATATGGATACAAAATTGATAAAGGGTTTAAATCCTATAAAAAGATATTGTTCAATGTATAGTAAAAAATTATAATTCTTTAATTTCAAAAGCGAAAGAAAATGTGAAAATGAAAATTCGAGTTCTTGCAACAAACTGTGATTTTTCCATACTGATTTCTTTGCAACCAAAGTCGTAACCCTTTGATATTTTAAACCTTGAATTTTGTCATATCAAATTTAAGTCTAAGTTTAAAATATCAAAGAGTAACATAATCAGGTTGCAATGATATAATGATTAGAAAGTTTGTGGCAACAACTTAGTTCCTTTTCTTGTCTTTTTGCCGTTATATTTGGTCAATAAGGTCGAACTGAAAAGTGATAAAAAAACACTACATTTTTTAAACATCATATTTATTTTCAAACTAGCTGAAGGGCCCGGCGTTGCCCGTGGAAAAAAATTTGAAAAAAATGTTGGTCTTTAACACCCATGAGTGCAGTCCACAAAAAATTTCACCCAATCAGTCCAGCCGTTTTGCCGGCTATACGCAACATATATATATTTCTAAATTTGGCTTGTTTGTCTGTTTGTTTGTATCCAATAAACGTCAAAACGGCTGAACCGATCGGGCCAAAATATTTTGTGGGACATCACGTGACCACAGGGAAGGTTTATGAATGATAAAAATAAAAAAGTGTGTTATTAAGGTTTTTTTGTAAAAAAATTTAAATTCTTGAAAATCCGCGAATTTTTTTTTAAAAATCCGCAAAATATTTTTCTTCTTTGTTTTAAAATGTAAACAAAAAGAACATGTTCACAACTAAATAGAAGATGGGCACGAAGCGCCCTAAAAGCCTAGTATAATACAAATGTCTTGTTTTATTATATAGATTAAACAAAATTCACTCAATAAACATTGTAAAACTTATTTCAAACTTATTCCAAAATGTTAAAGTGCAAACCTCCTTTATCCTGAGTTCTGTTTTGTTCATCTCGACAGTAACTCCACGCCATCCGTTCTAGAAACAAATTGAGTCTTTGCCAAAAATTCAAATGTTCTAATCCCTATATCTATGCCACCTGATGGGGAAAACCCTTGATATTTCAAACTTCGATAATTTGATCTAAAAGACTCCTTGGTTTGAAATGTCTAAGGTCTACGTCATTGGATTGCAAAGACTAGAAAATTAGATTTTGTGGGAAAGACTCAATTCTTTTTATCAATATTGAGAATTCTTAAAGAGAGGAATCGCAAAATTCAAAAGAGGAGGCAAGATTAGTTTAAACTTAGACTGAGTAGAACTCTGTCCGCTGATCATGAAGAAGGACTGCTGGATCTGTTGACTCGAGCTTTCTTGATATCTTCAAACAAAGTTTTGAAATACTTTTTAGAAATATATAAAATCCACGAAAGGATTAAGTCATTAAAATTTGATTAAGTTTTCGCCACAAAGTCTAATTTTCTAATACCTTTATCTTTGCAATCCAATGTCGTAAAGACATTATATATTTCAATTTATAAATTCAAATAATATAAGTTTGAACTTTAAACTATCAAAGATTAGTCTTCCTCTACCCACGTTTTTAATAAGGAAACTTCCCATTTTGAAATTTTATCCTACATTTTTCATTTCAAGAGCTCTGGCCTTGATGTCCGGTTCACTGGACAGGATCAGATTTTTCTCTCCTTGTAAAATTATCCGGTTTTTTAAGGAGTAGAGAGATGGCAACCGTGTCTGGGGTTTGCGCTCTTTTCCCGGAGCCTTGAAAGGAACTGTAAGAGTAATTTCAATATTCAGAGAGATACATGTCCGATTCAAAACGGTACCATACCCTTTAAACCTTTGTACACTTTGCTAGTGTACACTCGCACGGTTTCTTAAAACTTAATTTACCGCAACATAAATGAGAATATCTACGAAATCCTTGAGCAAACAAAGGTTTCTAAAGGGTATCGTTATTAATCGGACATACCCCTATTTCAATGAAAGGTCACTCGTAATTACGCGTACAATTCCTTTAATAGTTTCTGCTTGAACACTGATGTTAGCATCTGTGCTAACCGTCCCTGATTCGTCTGATTGCAATGAATCCGCAAGGAGATGATGAGCGGCATATCTGATATGATGAAAGCATATTTGTTTATGGATTCCAGAACTTCTAGTAGATCTAAAGGTTTGACCATCTTCTCTAGTCTAACATGAGGACCCTCCTTACTATCCCAGATCTCTAGATCAATACACTTAGCTCCGAGCAACAGCAGAGACTTGAAGGACTCAACTGAAATATTTCAAACATAAAAGTTACACAGCACAAAATCAATGTAAAACATTATGTGAAAAATAAATAAATAATAGATGTTTTTCCTGCAACTTTTGATTGGCACAACAAAGTTTAAGACTATAAAATTACATAAAATTTAGTATTTTTTTATTTTCCCTGTACTGTAATCAAAGAAAAAAAGTAATTTTTGTAAATCAGCTGAAATATTTTTCCCATTTGCAAGCATATAATAATACAGAGGGTAATATTTTTTGTTCCATTGATCAAAGAAGCCGGCCCCAACCCCCTCCTTACCGGCTCGAAACAAAAATAAGTTTCATAAAGAAACGGTGAAGACGGTTAACGATTTTGGTTCATAAATGGCTGATCGTTTAAAAGGCTAAAAATTAACTGTAATACGCTACACGTTCAGAAATTCAGGTTAGTTTCAATCTATTGAAGAACAATTTCAATACATTTTTTAAATTTCATTCCAATCAAGCGCGTCTAACAATTATTGTTTTTTAATGTTGTTCTTCAAACCTCCTTTTTACTAATATTTCGCAAATTAACGAAATTCCAAAAATTTTAAAATATTGTTTTGGACAAAATTTCTTTATTTAGAGCGGTCTTAAACCTTAATGGGGGTTTTGTGAGTTGCAACAAAATATTTGGGTCTGATTTGATCGACACAAAACAATTAAAAAAAATACCAAAAAAAAATCAAACAAAGAATACAAATGATATATGAGTTTAATTTTAACCTGTTATTCTGTTTTGATTGTCCAGAATATAAGCAGAGCTGATGTAGTATTCACTTAATAACATTTAATCAGTGTTTTTATTTATTAAAAAAACGATAAATAAAGGTACTGAAGCCTTATTTCAAGTGACCCTGTATTTATTAAAGGGCATGTCAAAACAGTCCCTTTAAACCGTTAGATCAAGTAGATTCCCATACAATACATGATAACGTAGATATTGATTATAGTACAATAGATGGCAACGTATAATTGATTCTAGTACAATAAATGATAACGTAGATATTGATTCTAGTACAATAGATGATAACGTGGATATTGATTCTAGTACAATAGATGATAACATAGATATTGATTCTAGTACAATAGATGGTAACGTAGATATTGATTCTAGTACAATAGATGATAACGTAGATATTGATTCTAGTACAATAAATGATAACGTAGATATTGATTCTAGTACAATAGATGGCAACGTAGATATTGATTCTAGTACAATAGATGGCAACGTATAATTGATTCTAGTACAATAAATGATAACGTAGATATTGATTCTAGTACAATAGATGGCAACGTAGGATTTTATTCTAGTACAATAGATGGTAACATAGGAAATGATTATAGTACTATAGATGATAACGTAGATATTGATTCTAGTACTTTAGATGATAACATGGGTATTGATTCTAGTATAACAGATGGTAATGTAGAATTTGGTTCTATTACAATAGATGGTAACGTAGAATTTGATTCTATTACAATAGATGGTAACGTAGAATTTGATTCTAGTATAATAGATGGTAATGTAGAATTTTATTATACAATAGATGGCAACGTAGCATTTGTTTCTACGTAGAATTTGATTCTAGTATACAATAGATGATAACGTAGATATTGATTCTAGTATAATAGGTGGTAATGTAGAATTTGATTCTATTACAATAGATGGTAACGAAGATATTGATTCTAGTACAACAGATGGCAACGTAGAATTTGATTCTATTACAATAGATGGTACCGTAGAATTTGATTTTAGTATAGTAGATGGTAATGTGGAATTTTGATATACAATAGATGGCAATGTAGATATTGATTCTAGTATAATAGATGACAACGTAGATATTGATTCTAGTATAATAGATGATAACGTGGATATTGATTCTATTACAATAGATGGTAACGTAGAATTTGATTCTAGTACTTTAGATGGCAACGTAGGATTTGATTCTAGTACAACAGTTGGCAATGTAAAATTTGATTCTAGTACAATAGATGGTAACGTAAAATTTGATTCTAGTACAATAGAGGATAACGTAGACAATGATTCTAGTACAATAGATGGCAACGTATAATTGATTCTAGTACAATAGATAATAACGTAGACAATGATTCTAGTACAATAGATGGCAACGTAGGATTTGATTCTAGTATAATAGATGGTAACGTAGGATTTGATTCTAGTACTGTAAATGGCAATATAGAATTTGTACACCCTCAGTACAGCTGTATTTTCACGTCACAATTGTGTCAATTCAGTTTTTGTGTCCGACAAAATTATTGATAATAGTGATAATTATAGTATAAGTGCTTATCTTACAGCATAATTTTATGTGTTGTTTATTTTTTGCTTTTACACTTTTTTACACTCTTGGAAAACATATCAACTAATGTGAGAAAATTTCGAAAATTTCATTTTCCTTGTAATATTTGACACATATGACGTCGTGTATAATTTCCATTTCTCTGTCGCCACTTATTGTATTTGATAATCTAATTGCGATTAATTACCTATGCATAAATATGCGCAAGTCATTTTTACACCCACAATAGAAAAAAAATCAATTTTAACCGGGACAACTACTGATATCTTGTTCATCCTTGATCAGGCAAAAAGGTTTACAGATAGTCCACTCTGTTAACAAAGAGTCACTTTAAAACAAGCCTACAGTCCCTTTAAAAAACAAATATTTGTAAAATAAAAACTCTCAATACCTGAGAGTCGCATGTTGACTCTCAACACTTCTCTCCTCATCCTTGAGTACAGAGTTAAACTCTCCGGAGTACAAGAACTCTACAAACTCTGAGTAGATGAGAAAAGGGAATGTATCATGATCATAATCGATTTTATGAAATCTTATCAGAATATTTTCTAACATATCAACTGTCACATTCTCCATCTTCTGATGCTCCTCGAGAAATCGGCGCAAATCCCCTGAAATAAAATATGTTAAATATCTTAACAGGGACTGTCGACATAACTCCATTTAAAGGAACTGTCGACATAACTCCATTTAAAGGGACTGTCAACATAACTCCATTTAAAGGAACTGTCAACATAACTCCATTTAAAGGAACTGTCGACATAACTCCATTTAAAGGGACTGTCGACGTAACTCCATTTAAAGGAACTGTCGACATAACTCCATTTAAAGGAACTGTCAACATAACTCCATTTAAAGGAACTGTCAACATAACTCCATTTAAAGGGACTGTCAACATAACTCCATTAAAAGGGACTGTCAACATAACTCCATTTAAAGGGACTGTCAACATAATTCCATTTAAAGGGACTGTCGACATAACTCCATTTAAAGGGACTGTCGACATAACTCCATTTAAAGGGACTGTCGTAGTAAATCGAGTATCTACATGTAGGGCTGTTAATCGTTTTAAAAACGATTGAAAAAAAACGAGTTTGTTGTTTAGCTTTTCGTTTTTTCCTAAAAACGATCGGTTCCGACAAACGAACCAATCGTTGAGAACTTTTGAAACCGAAAAACGAAAACATCGTTTTCTTTAAAAACCAGAATATCATTTTTGTCTAGAAATTGGATCAAAGGGTATTGTTGTAAATCTGGTATCTACAATCTACATGTGAATCTGGTATCTACAATCTACATGTAAATCTGGTATCTACAATATACATGTGCATCTGGTATCTAGAATCTACATGTGAATCTGGTATCTAGAATCTACATGTGAATCTGGTATCTACAATCTACATGTGAATCTTGTATCTACAATCTACATGTGAATCTTGTGTCTACAATCTACATGTAAATTTTGTATCTACAATCTACATGTAACTCTTTAATGGAAAATAAGACAACATTGAAAAAGAGTGAAATGTTTACAAGAAAATACTTTGCCTCACATGATCCCAGGAAAGGTTTATGAAAGCTCAAAATTACAAAAATTTGTAACCAAAAGTTTTCGATTCTGTAAAATTATGAAATGTGCAAAAATATATTAAATGCGTGACTTTTTTCTTAGTGTTTTATGTTGTACGTAAGTTGCTTACAGATAGAGCCACAATTAATAGTTTCAAAAGAATATGGGCGAGAAGCGCCCTAAAAGCCTAGTTTATATAAAATTCAAGATAAAATGTAGGTGAAGAAATTGATGTGCAATACAGAGTTGAATTTGGATATTAATTTGACCGAAAATTATCTAATGTTTAAACTTTAGTCTTACACAATTGAACCCGGCCCTGTAATTTAACAATGAGGGCTTTTTAGGCAGATTTTTAAAAGCAAATAATTCATCAGGACAGATTTAATTTCATCAAGACAGGTTTAATATCTTCAGGACAGTTTTAATTTAATCAGGAAAGGTTTAGTTTCATCAGGACAGGTTTAATTTCATCCGGACAGGTTATTTTTCATCGGAACAGGTTTAATTTCATCAGGACAGGTTTAACTTCATCAGGACAGGTTTATTTTCATCAGAACAGGTTTAATTTCATCAGAACAGGTTTATTTTCATCAGAACAGGTTTAGTTTCATCAGTACAGGTTTAATTTTATCAGTACAGGTTTAATTTCATCAGGACAGGTTTAATTTCATCAGGACAGGTTTAATTTCATCAGGACAAGTTTAGAAAATTACCTTCGGTCATTCCTTTCTTTGACTGAATCTGGCGACTATACTTTTGAAATATATCAACCAAGATTTCATTTTCATCCACCTAATTTAAACCTAATATGTAGTTTAAACCTAATATGTAATTCAAACCTAATATGTAATTTAAACATAATATGTAATTTAAACCTAATATGTAATTTAAACATAATATGTAATTCAAACCTAATATGTAATTCAAACATAATATGTAATTTAAACCTAATATGTAATTTAAACCTAATATGTAATTTAAAGGCATAGAGAATAGAATATATATTAGATAGAATTTACTAGAAAAAAGTGTAAAACGGCCATTTTGTTGTACTTTTTCATACTGCAGGTGTACTTTACATATTTATGCTATATAACCTTTTGGGCCCTGGAATATCATTTTATAGAAAATCTAAAATTAATGTTAAAAGAAAACCAAATTATGAAATAGGCTGGTTTATAATTGACCTATGATCATTTCACATAGACTCTATAATGCCTTCCACTTTACAAACGATGATTATCCGTTACAACTATAAATTAAATGATGTTTTTTATTAATTCATTATAAAGTTTATTTAACAGCTTTAAAAATTTCGAAATTGAAATGAATAGTCTAGGGAACATACTGTATTTGTGTACTCTACTGCATATAATTTGTGAACATTTGCATGATTTGTACACTCTGAACTTCCTTTCAGGCTGAAAGGGACTGAAAAAATTCATACCGAGAGATTCTTTAAATTCTCCTCTAATATATATTCTATTCTCTATGTTTAAAGGGACCCTTCACAAAATTCTGTTAGTTAATATTGTTAAAGTTTGAAATATCAGGTTGCATGTAGGGAGCTGCTTTAACTGCTATGTTTTATTTCAGATAATGTTATGTTAATCAGATTTCGGGTTAGACTGCCTGATGAAAATGCTGTAAATAAAAAAGGGGTTTAACAGTTTTTTTAATGACATAATTATACCTGTGAATAAAACATATTTTCAACAAAGTTCATAAAATCCAAAACATTTAGTTCCGGTCCTTCCCATTTACTAGTGCTTATTCCCAGTAATCCTAAATATTCATCTTTTTCATAATTTTTTAGAAAATAGAGTAAACCTTTAATATTTTGATGGATTTTATAATGATAATAATAAAATGATGACTAAGTAATGCACTGATAAAAATTCCACGTCTTTTTGTCCCAAATCCTGTTTATGTAAATTATTTTATTTCAACTATTTAAAAAATTGTTATTTTTATTTTTTATTGATTTAGACTTTATGCGTAGGATATAATTATTATTTTTTCAAATAATTAATTAATTAGTATTAAACTGCCTCAAGTATGGCAATCATAATCACTGCCTCTATCAGGTATTTACTTTTTCAAAATATATATATGGAATTCTATGAAATTATGATAAATTAACTCATTGCGAAAATATTTCAGAATCAAGCTATAGGAATTAATAGGATTCACAGATAAAACTGATTTGTATCTTTATTTGAAAAATAATTTAGAACTTGAATGTTTAAATTTCAAATCGACTTACCAACATATTGGGAGGCTTCATCAGTAGATATAGTTTCTAGAACAAATTAAAACGAGAATAAAAATAAAATCTAAATATGGATATTTTTTAATAACTCCAATATGGATTAGACTCACAAGAGTATCCATAAAAGCCTGATCAAGAATAAATTAGATATCCATGTTATTGATTTGAAAACTGATTTTTTTAATTTTTCATTTAATTTTTAAGTTAGAAAACCGACGATATCTTCAACATTTTGATCGGACTATACTGTATCAAGGGTAGTGTTGTGAATAGGGCAATCCCCGCTTTTTTTTAAATGGAGGGGCACTTGAAATTACAGCGACAGTTAAAGGGACTGTAAAGGAAAAATGAAAGGGGGTATAAGCTGAAAGCTAATCACTTTAGCTCTTGATCACGACCCATGAAAGTTATATCTGATGTTCCTATCTCGAGAAATTGATATACAACTGTGTCTAATTTATACGAAAATTCATATATATACAATTTTGTATAAAAATAGAAGGTTTAAACAGATCATATTCAGCAAACGCACAGCGAATCTGAAAACGAAGATATCCCAAAGGAAGCTAATCCTCACTTTGGTTTGCTTCAATTATAATCTTATAATTTTTATTTTTAATTTTAATAGATATAATTGATAATATTATTTATAAGTCCGAATTACGTCACCAGAACTCCCACCAATGGAAGTGCAGTATAGAGGTCACGTGTTTCTGTCTTTATCACGTGACCAATATACTACATTCCCATTAGTGGGAGTTCTGGTGACGTGATACGGACTTAAAAATAATATTTTCGATTATATATGTTAGAAATAAAAATATAGATGATATAATTTTAAATGGAGCAAACCAAAGTGAGATATGGCTTCCTCTGGGATATCTTCGTTTTCAGATTGGTTGTGTATTTGCTGAATATGACCTGTTTAAACCTACTATTACAATACAAAGTCGTATATATAAATGAATTTTCGTATATATTGGACACAGTTTTATATCAATTTCACGAGACAGGAACATCAGATTTAACTTTCATGGGTCGCGATCAACAGCTAAAGTGATTTACTTTCAGCCTATACCCCATTTCATTTTTCCTTTACAGTTCCTTTAAGTATGGCATTGAAAAAAGTTCTGATCTTTACAAACATTGAAAAGGACTATTCAGAATTAATGAACCTTTCGTCAGATTTAAATATTTTTAAACATAGTTTTTCAGTAAGAAATGTTTGGATTTCTGAAGAGTACTAATCGACATTGAATCCATGTTCTATATTTACCTTCCTTACTCCATGATTTATATTATATTTATCAATCAATGAATTTTTTGCCTTTATTGATTTTATTCAACTCTCGGGAAAAGAAATGGATGCTCTGCTGATACCGATACTGACTAAATGCCATTTTTTTTATCAAATACAGTGTTAGGCGATTATATCAATACAATGAAGACGACTTGCAATTTCAATATTGATTTATATCAAGCTGTATAACAGCTTGAATACACATAAATATAGAAGCCAAGAAAAGCTTTCGATTAAAAAAGTATCTCTTTAATTACTTGTAAACTTGTAATTCGTAAAAAGCTTATTAACAATCAAAGCTTAAATAAAAAGTCGTCTTCATTGTATTAATATAATCGCCTACCGCTGTATCAAAGCTAAAATCTTTTTAATGAACTTAATGCGTTTATTTAACTCTCGCATTGCAAGGAGACTAAATCTCAATAATAGAAACTTCTGATTTAACCAGTGATAGGTTGGTTATTCTTCATGCAAGGATAGAAAAAATCTATTCGAAACTTATTTGCATTTCCTAAGAAAGTTTTCATCTTAAAGGGAGTGTTCGCGAAAAATGAAAGGGGGTATAGGCTTAATACGATAAAAAAGCGCTTTTGATCGCTACTAGTCTTACTTCTATCTGTTGCGTCTATAAGGAGAAAATTGTTAAAGACGTCTCATACCGAAGAAAGTAGCGCCCATACAAATTGAGAAAATTGCAACATACGACTTAGACCGTAAAAATCAATTTAATTTCAAACAAATCATTCAGATATTACATCCTATAGTCATCGATTATCTTTCGCCAGTTCGCCACATTTGCATATAGTTTATATTTTATAATATTTTTTAACTTTGGAATAATTTTCCAGGTTCTTGAAATATTCAAGGAATTGAGTCTTTACCACAAACTCAAATTTTCAAATCCTCATATTATTGTAACCTGAGGCCGAATTTAAAGAATTTGAGCCGCTGCTTAAATTTAAGCCGCGGCTCAAATATGGTTTGTTTAACAGAAAATTGTGATTGTGTATAACCTTTGATATTTCAAAATTTCGTTGCAAAAACTCAATTCATGAATGAAACTTATGATAAACATTAGTTTTCCTGAAGTTTCTGATGAAAAAAGCAACATTTGAACACAAGGATTCACTTGGAAAACGGAGAACAATGGATTGTTTTCTTTCCCCCCAGATCTCCAGCAGGTCTGACTGTAAACAAACAATTTTTTTATCATCTGTTTTATACAGTGAGGGAGGGAAGGCATACATCACCTTTTTTCGTCCAGCCACAAATACGTTCAATTCAATTTCGTCCGACCACACCATTTTTGTACAGGGATATGCATAAATAATAGAGATTTAAATGACGACCTTGCAATCTTCCTCATTATATATGATTTGTAATTATCTAAACATCTAGATGAAATGGTAAAGCATATTTAGAAAGAACTGCGATTATGAAATATACATGCATATTGCATAATTGTGAGAGCTAAACAAAATGGCTGTGAAGCGTTCGTACGTTGTAAAATTTAAATAGTACACTGTACAGTGTACTGTACGTACAGTCTGCGTATACAGTATGTAGTGTCCTATACAGTATACAGTGTACGGTATATGCTGCACAGTTTACACTGCACAGTCTAAACAAAACTTTGCAATAATGTACACTGTTCACTGCACACTGTACAGTGCAGTGGCAGCATAATTCCAGTAGAAGTAAATATTTCCATTTACTGATAGCCCCGATTGAAGAATTCATAACTCTGATTGGATAATGAGATAGATAGAAAGATAGATGTTACCGCCATATTTCTATTGGTTTAGAATAGACAACAAACACATGACTCAACATACATGAGTGGTGGAACACAGACGTCTCGTAAGTTTAAGTCCGATAACAACAACGGAATTGAAAAAAAACTACTGACATTTTTTATTTTGATTTGAGAAGTAAAGTTTTTTTTTTGTTAAAAATTCTTGTTTCCTCTGTAAGAACAGTGACTAAAGTTGGGTCTATGTTTTCTGAAACACCTTGACCATTAAGCACCAGATAGTTGAGATCATCTTTAAACCATAGATTCAGATCTTCTGTCTCAGCTGTTTCAGAGATACACTAAACATATTTATTCCTTGTATAATTGGTTTTTTACCTATATATTTATATAGAGATCGGTACTAGAGATCGGTACCAGAGATCGGTACCAGAGATCGGTACCAGAGATCGGTACCAGAGATCGGTACCAGAGATCGGTACCAGAGATCGGTACCAGAGATCGGCTGCCAATTTAAAAGCTCTTTAAAACCATTAAGAAGTTCCTACTTTTAGCAGTAGCTTTACAAAAATTTACGAAGTCAACCATTTTGTAAAGTTTGCATGAATTACAAAATGTGAAATTTGGATTTTGACGATTTGGCGAAATAGGCTTTATCATATCATATCTTGTCAGGTCATATCAGATACGAAAATATAACCGTTCGTTAACGTAACAGATTCGTTTTTATGCCCTTATCTTCTATAAATAAATCTGTCTGTTTGTTTGTGTCCAATAAACGTCAAAACGGCTGAACCGATCTCTCACTCATTTTTGATGCGGCATCTCACTTGAGCGTAGGGAAGGTTCACGGACAGGCAAATTTGAGGCAATTCAATCGCAAAGTGAATAAATACTAAAGTGGACCAAACTCATAGTTGGATGACGACATTTTATGTCCCAAGTATTTAGAAATATGTATATATATATATAAATTGGTCTGTATACGGAGTGTACAGTACAACAGAAACTGGACTCCCTTTGTTTACAAACACAGACTTAGAATTTATATTTAACTTAAATATAAGTTAACGTAAATTAAGATTTCAGAAGTGAATTTTAGCCATTTTACTGCACAATAAATGATTTCAGACAACACAATAATGCCTGCAAGTATAATCTGTAAAACAAAGAATGCACAATTTGTGATACCGAAAAATGAAGATCTTCGAAATATATCTCTTGGTCTTCGCTTTTGTATTTTGACAGATTTAAGAATGGTTGAGAACTAGACACAGTTTTAAAGATATTAAGGGCTTACATTTCTTTTTCTTTTTGGGAGGGGGGAGGCCGACCCCCCCCCCACTGATCCAGGAGGGGGATGAGCCACCATAGCCCCCCCTGAATACGCCTCTGGATGATAACATAGATCTGTGTTAAGAAATTTACAAACATATTTTAAAATGGAGTGAGATTTGAAACAAAACTAAGCAGTTTTAAAGATAAATTCCTTTAGAACTAGAAGTGCCAGGCAAAATCAATGAATTGATTAAGCGACTAAATAGTATTTACATATAAACTACAAATTTTGATTTTAAATCGTGAAAATTTCGAAGTTCTATCTGAAGACGACATTTACATGGGTCTTTAGTCTATTTTTTCTAGTCTTTACTTTCCAAACGAAATCTTTTCATGAAATTATTTCCAAATCAAATAAAACCTTATGGCCCAACCTGTCGTCGTTTCCTTAGTCTGTTCCACTTTAGTATTTATTCACTTTGATTCAATCGAGGAGTTATAATCGTACTTACAAACAAACAGAGATTACTACTTTATATATATAAATTTATGTAACTTTAAATTAATGTATATGATACCGAAGAGGGACGCTTTTTAAAGGTCCAGTCGAAGCGGATACACGGTATACCGTCCACCAGAAGATTTTCAACTTGGAAGAATCTATCTTCTTCGTTCTCCTTCGCCATTGTATTTGTTTTACTTTTCTTTGCTTTTCAATTTTTCAGCTGTGTTAATATATATTCTAAACTTGATAAACTAAACTGTTCTTTGAGCCTGATAAATTCCAAATTGACGATATCAAGCTAAAATTTCCTTTTCGTTGATAAGGACTAATTTTATAATGATAAATATTTATCCAATTTTCTTTAAAACTATTTTTTTTATCGATTGGCAATCAATTTAAATCGTTCTGGTTTTCCCGGTTCCCCAAGTTTCCCGGGTTCTCTTGGTTCTCCTTGTTCACCTAGTTTCCCTGATTTTCCTGGTTTCCCTGGTTTCCCTGGTTTCCCTCCCAGGTTTCCTTGGTTTCCCTTGTTTCTCTGGTTTCCCTGGTGTCCTTAGTTTCCCTAGTTTCCCTGGTTTCCCTGGTGTCCCTGGTTTCCCTGGTTTCCCTGGTTGTCCTGGTTCCCCTGGTCTCCAAGGGTTCTCTGGTTTCCTTGGTTCTCCTGTTCCTCTCGGTTATCCCGGTTACCCTGCAGTCCCCCCTGGTTACCCCGCATATTCAGATTTAGATTTATTGAGAAATTCTTCTATTTGTATCTTTACTTCAGATTTCAGAAGCTTTTCAACTCAAAGCCTTAAATTTACACCATCGGAATTTTTATTAAAGGGACAAAAGTAGAAATCCGCCTTCTCTCTTACGCTGTTGCCTATCTGTGCAACGCGGATAAAACGGATAAAGAATGGAGATACAAGGGATGAAGAATGGAGATACAAGGGATGACGAATGGAGGTACAAGGGATAAGGAATGGATATACAAAAGATAAAGAATGGATATACAAGGGATAAGGAATAGAGATACAACAGATAAAGAATGGAGATTCAAGGGATATAGAATGGAGATACAAGGAATATAGAATGGCGATAAAAGGGATAAGTAATGGAGATACAACAGATAAAGAATGGATAAACAAGAGATAGAGAATGGAGATACAAGAGTTAAGGAATGATGATACAACAGATAAAGAATGGAGATACAAGGGATAAGGAATAGAGGTACAACAGATATAGAATGGAGATTGAAGGAATGTAGAATGGAGATCAAAGGGATAAGGAATGGAGATACAAGGGATAAAGAATGGGAATACAAGGGATAAGGAATAGAGGTACAACAGATAAAGAATGGAGATTCAAGGGATATAGAATGGAGATACAAGGAATATAGAATGGAGATACAAGGGATAAGGAATGGAGATACAAGGGATAAGGAAGGAGATACAAGGGGTAAGGATTGAAGAAACAACAGATAAAGAATGGAGATACAACAAGGGATAAGGAATAAAGATACACTAGATAATGAATGGAGATACAAAGGATACAGAATGGATATACAAGGGATAAGGAATGGAGATACAACAGATAAAGAATGGGAATACAAGGGATAAGAAATGGAGATACAAGGGATAAGGAATGGATATACAAGGGATAAAGAATGGAGATACAAGGGATAAAGAATGTGAATACAAGGGATAAAGAATGGAGATTCAAGGGATATAGAATGGAGATACAAGGGATATAGAATGGAGATACAAGGGATAAGGAATGGAGATACAAGGGATAAGGAAGGAGATACAAGGGGTAAGGATTGAAGAAACAACAGATAAAGAATGGAGATACAAGGGATAAGGAATAAAGATACACTAGATAATGAATGGAGATACGGACTCAGGGATGAAGATACAACAGATAAAGAATGGAGATACAAAGGATACGGAATGGATATACAAGGGATAAGGAATGGAGATACAACAGATAAAGAATGGGAATACAAGGGATAAGAAATAGAGATACAAGGGATAAGGAATGGAGATACAAGGGATAAAGAATGGAGATACAAGGGATAAAGAATGGAGATACAAGGGATAAAGAATGTGAATACAAGGGATAAAGAATGGAGATACAAGGGTTAAAGAATGGAGATACAAGGGATAAAGAATGGGAATACAAGGGATAAAGAATGGAGATACCCTTCAAAACTATATCAGACAAGAATTAAAGAGAGATATTGTATTTTGTATCTGGAAAAGTGTTTTATTCTAACATTTTCACAGTTCGTCTTTGCTGCATAGATAAACCACAATTGAATAAAGAATATGAAGGATAAAGAACCTCATAATTTAATTTAGCTTAAAGATCAGCTTGAATCGGAAAAATTACCTTTTGAACTGAAAGGTAATTTTTCAAAAAAGTGGACAGTATCGTTAAAGTTAAGTGAGTTTAGAATAAAAATCTTCAAATTTGAAAGAAGGATTAGGTTCTGGTTAATTAAATAGATATCCTTGTATCCCTGGAGGACCTGGAGCTAGGGTTGGGTCGGACAGATGGTTGGAATAAATCTCCTCATATAGTTCCTCAGGGGCCTTTTATCCTACACAATCTTACAATAAATGCTTCAAACACACGTAATAGTACTCATACTATATATATTCTTACTGGGCTCAGTTAAAAGAAGCCTCAAAGGTGGGGAGGTCTAACTTTTAAGTCTCCCCTTTGAAGATTATTTGAAGTTTGGTGTCTTTTTGTAGTTTTTATGTATGCTATACTAAACATATTGTATTTTGTTTATTGCTTATAGGTATTGTATGGTGTATATGATATATATTGTATATTGTATAGTATATTGTATAAAAATGTTCTTGGAAGTTTCGGGGTTTGATAAACTGAAAGTTTAATGAAAATATTACAAAGACTGATGAGGGTTTAGTTTACTCTGAGATAATCACAAAAGTGATTTTTCAAGATTTGCATAAAATTTTGAATTCTCTCTGTCTTATCCTGCTCCCCTCTCAACCTTCTTCTTTTCTCAGGGTTCAGTATACTCCAGGTTCAAGGGACTGCTCGATCCACAATGACACTCTTTAAACTTTCGTCTGAGCAAAAATGTTGAGGAAGGAAAAACGATGATATCTTCCTTGGTATTATTAAGATACAGGCTCAAAAGGGTATGGCAGGGCTGCGATTCTCTAATTGAAAGTACGTTTACAGTCCCTTACAGTATACTCCAGTTTAAGCATACTCTAGGTTATGTATATTCTAGGTTAGGTTTACTGTAGGTTAGGTTTACTGTAGGTTAAGTATACTCTAGATTAAGTATACTCTAGGTTAAGTATACTCTAGGTTAAGTATACTCTTGGTTAAGTATACTCTAGGCTAAGTATATTCTAGGTTAGGTTTATTCTAGGTTAAGTATACTCTAGGCTATGTATATTCTAGGTTAGGTTTACTCTAGGTTAAGTATACTCTGGGTTAAGTATATTCTAGGTTAGGTTTACTGTAGGTTAAGTATACTCTAGGTTAATTTTACTCTAGGTTAAGTATATTCTATGTTAGGTTTACTCTAGTTTAAGTATATGTTAGGTTAGGTTTACTGTAGGTTAAGATATACTCTAGGTTAAGTATATTCTAGGTTAGGTTTACTGTAGGTTAAGTAAACTCTAGGATAACTATATTCAAGGTTAGTTTTACTGTAGGTTAAGTATATTCTAGGTTAGGTTTACTGTAGGTTAAGTATACTCTAGGTTAAGTATATTCTAGGTTAGGTTTACTGTAGGCTAAGTATACTTCTGTATTGAAGAATAACACTGTATGTATAAGCTCTTTGTAAGAAAAACAAAGGTGGATGTAAGTGATGTAAAAACTCCAATCCGCCACCCTCCCCCAACTCCGTTCCTTTCTAACCACTCCTCCCCTTCCTCCCCTCCCCCCCTTTCATACCCGAGATCTAATCCCCTAGGGACAAAACCAGCTTACAACAATATCAGGAACATGTTGGGACGATCCAGGGGTAAGATGGTAATCAATCTTAATATAGTTGTCTAGATGCAGTTATTAGCTGGTCATCCTTTTATTTTAAGAAGCTGGTAACCCTGTTTTAATTTTAGAATCTAGTACCCTGTAATTATTAATGAATCCGGTCACCCTGATTTATTCTTGTTTCCCTACAGTTTGTAAAGGTATAAGAATCTGGACACCCTGTTTAAAGGGACTGTAAGTGACCCTCTATGCAAAGAGGACAACACCCGATTTACAACGGTACTCCAAAAATCTTTAGTCATCAATTAGAGCTTTAAAGGTTTAAAGGAACCGTTGTTATCTAAACCGGATTTCTAATGAAAGGTCACTTGAAATTACACTTTCAATCACTGTAAAGAAATGAGTCAAAACTTTTTTGCTATGAATCTTTGGGTCAATCTCAATCATTGATCTAATGTGGACCTATAGAGTAATATCATTCCTCTTTAATAACCACTGGTGATCATGCCCTGCAGGGATAACTTTAATTGGCGTATCAAGCATTTATCCTCAACTTTTTCAGTGCTAACACTGGAAATCGAGATCATTGAAGATTAACAATAATCCACGTAAAATAGTCCGGTCACCCTACATTAATAACAGATTCTGGTCAGTGCAGGGTTGCTTTAAAAAAAATCTGGTCACCCTGTTTTTATAAATGAATGTGGCCACTCAGTTTTAAAAAGAATCTGGTTACCTTGCATTAAAAAAAATCTGGACAGGGGTAACCCTGCTTTAAGAATGAATCTGGTCATTCTGTTAAAAAAAATGGTCACCCTAAATTGAAAGCAAATTCTGGACAGGGGTCCCCTTGATTTAATAAATGACTCTGGTTACCGTGATTTTATAAATAAATGGGGCCCTTCTATTTTTTTTATCTGGTCACCTTGTTTTACTTGAATGATAAGAATAAAATTGTCGAATAATATTTAATCCCAATCATTGATAATAGGATGTAAAAAAAACGATATAACAGCTGCCTGTGTTTGGACTTTGGAGAGACATGTTTTCATAGTTTTTGTTTCAACTTTCAAATATCTAAACAGTCCCTTTACAGCTGCTGGTCACCCTGTTCTGTCTCTGGGGATATCTTTACAGCTGATGGTCACCCTGGTCTCTCTCTCTGGGGATATCTTTACAGCTGCTGGTCAAACCTAGTCTCTCTTTGGGGATATCTTTACAGCTGCTGGTCACCCTGGTCTCTCTCTGGGGATATCTTTACAGCTGCTGGTCACCCTGGTCTCTCTCTCTGGGGATATCTTTACAGCTGCTGGTCACCCTGGTCTCTCTCTCTGGGGATATCTTTACAGCTGCTGGTCACCCTGGTCTCTCTCTGGGGATGTCTTTACAGCAGCTGGTCACCCTGGTCTCTCTCTGGGGATATCTTTAAAGCAGCTGGTCACCCTGGTCTCTCTCTGGGGATATCTTTACAGCTGCTGGTCACCCTGCTCTCTCTCTGGGGATATCTTTACAGCTGCTGGTCACCCTGGTCTCTCTCTGGGGATATCTTTACAGCAGCTGGTCACCCTGGTCTCTCTCTGGGGATATCTTTATAATCTAGAAATATGTCAAGGGAAGAATTGTTTCTCTCTAAGTTTGACAATTACAATGTGGAGTTTACTAACTTTTATACATTTAACTCAACTCAATTTTCCAGGTGTAGTTCCACTATATAGTTAAAGCAGAAGAGGGAGGGGGTGCAGGGCCGCAATGAGCCCCTCAAGATGGTCTCCAAGCCTCCGTATTTAAAAAGACCTTACCGTTATAGAAGTAATAAATAACATTAAAAAATATATATATTTTTAATCTTTAAATAGTTATGCAGTGTTTTCTTGAATATCCAAAAAACGTTGCATATCTATTAAAATATTTTCAAAAAATTTGTATACATTACTTCTATAATATCTATTCTAAAGAATAGGGGTAATGCCATGTCATTTTTAATGCTTATCTCCGAATCCAAAGGCTTGGAAACCATTTTGCTGGGCTCCTGGCGTCCCTGCACCCCCTCCCTACCCAACATACTTAAATTTAAAAACTCAGTAGTGGTTTAAAACTTTTGGATCAATTGTTTTTGGATCAATGCTTGTCAGAAAGCCTCAACTATTTAGGCCCAATTTTTGTGGACAATTTTTCGGAATATAAATCTTCCTATATCAAATCAATCGAATTCTTTGTAAGTTGAAAACCCAATCATTTAAACAAGAAATGATTAATCGCATCAAACGCATTTCTTTAATCCCTAAATCTTTGCAGCCTGATGATGTAAACGTTTGAAGATTCGAACCTTAACTATTAGAATTAGCGAAATTCAAAGTTTGGAATATCATCAGGTTGAACAGATTTAAAGGGACTGTAAGCGTAATCTCAAGTGATCCTCTATGTAAAGATTGCAATGCCCGATTCACTAGGATACCCTTTAAAAGCGTTGTCTGATCAAGTTTGAATTAGATATCAATTGTTATAATTTTTAAAACTGATTATGTTCAATTGTGGTTTCTCTACAAAAGTAAATTGCATATTTCTACTGCAGGAAAACATGTTAATATAGAAGTAGCTATTAGAATTAGACAATTCTAAACCTAAAAAAAAGAAAATTTCTTCAACATTATTGATCAAAAATTACGCCTATAGAAAAATAGCAAATTGATGAAAAAGTAATGACGGGATAAAAAGGTGTTTATTCAATTTATTTTTAATTAATTTTTTAATTATAACAGTATATATAAACTAAAATGTTTCTAAATAAACTTGTTAAAAGTATTTAAACAGCAATATTTTGAAGCGGTTAATTTCCTTCTTTACAAGTTGTTCAGCCGAGAAGGTCAAAGTTATTTATTACGGGTCATTACTCATTAGTATCCGTTCCAGTGCTCAGGAGATAATCTACAAAACTAAATTGTTTTTTACAAAACTTCTGTAAGGTGATATTACAGACCTCAGGACAATCCGTGCCTGTATATTTATTTGATCATCGTACATCATTTAACAATATTGAAAAATTTTTCGCAGATTTTTTATTTTTTATTTCAAAATTTAAGATTTACATCTAAGATCTAGGTATATTTAAGCTGTATGAGAATAAACTCGACCAAACAAGAGATGATTTTGACACAAATTACAGTTTTTTTTAATTTGAAGAAATTACGAGGATTTAATTTTTTTTGATATTTGGTCATGGAGCTGAAAACTTTAGTTTGGGATACCCTTAATCCCGATCGGTTAATTAATCTTGAGATTAATAGCAAGGGGAGAACAAGCACTATTTAATCTTGAGATTAGGAAAAAGAGTGGATCAAGCCTTAATCCCGATCTCCACCATTCAAAAGTTCCCATCTCAGATCATATAAGCAATATCAGATTCTCGAAAAAATACTCGATGCTCAAGTTTTTGTACATTGTACTTGTACATTTGTGTACCTGATACCCCCTAAATACTTGATTATCTTGATCCTCAAAGAATTCTCCAAACAAAATTCTTTCTGAAATGTTTCTACTTTGACCTGACAGATTTCGTCATCTCTCTAAAAAACCTCTTAGATTAGGAATAAATGGAGTTTGAGAAGAACTACTTAGACTAAACATATCGGTCTTTTACAAAATTTAGAGATTGAAAACAGATATTTTGTTTTAATTACTTTTGACAAAAAACAATTAAAATCAAATATATTTATTTGAATGTTTGCATTGTTAGGGTATAGATGTTGACCTGAAGGCTATACCTTGAACTTTACTCAGTGCATAATCATTTAATTATTTTACAGTACATTGTATAATGTTATGGAAACAATGATATTTATTTGTATTTTATAGCTATAGATAAACAATGGTGAGCTTTTTAACTAAGGCACACAGGAAAGGGCGGCCATGATGTACGTTGGAAGGTTACTACACTTTTTAAACTTTATCTTGTTTCTCACGCTTTCTGGACTCTGTAGGTTGACCGGAGGATATAGTAGCGCTCAGGTCAGCTAGCTGGCAGTCAGTTCACGAGCTACACACCTCAAACATTAGATATCCTTCATCCTGCATACTCGCACTATTCAGTTACAATAGAATCCTGTTTTGGGCTGTGCAACATGAATTTTATCAGCAATATTTCTAATAGCTCTTGTATTTAGCTTGGTGGCCATGTTTGATAGAAACCGGTTTGGATTTGAGAAAACTGGTTTTCAGCTGTGTCGTGCCAGTACGGAGGAAGAACAGTGAAGCAGAAAGCTTGATAAAGAAATACAAACATGAGTGATTTAAGGTTGTGCAAATTCTCAGCATTCTACAAACTTCTAAATATTTGTTAAAAATATCAAGGCTAGCGGACAATATCTACATTCTACGGACTAGAAGTCTAAAAGACATGTTCTACGTGAATCCGTTCTTTTTTCTTTACAATTTCTCTCCCAAACTAAAAATGTTGAGATAAACAAATCAAAATATTATCAAACGTAGATTAGAAACTAGACGAAATACAACTTATAGACTAAGACCCCTCTCATGTCACAGGTACAAATTACTTTTTTTGTTTCGTAATTCAAAAAAACTAATTGTAGATATTAATATTCTATTATACTAATGATTTGAACCAATTATTAAAACAACAGGTCTCAAAACATACTTAATGTTAAGGTTTCAGCTGGGAATTTTGTTCTTCTAGTATTTACTAATTAAAGGGAGTGTTCGCGAAAAATGAAAGGGGGTATAGGCTTAATGCGATAAAAAAGCGTTTTTGATCGCAACTAATCTTATTTCTATCTGTTGCCTCTATTAGGAGAAAATTGTTTAAAACGACTAATACCGAAGAACCATACAAATTCAGAAAGATGCAAAATTCAACTCGGATCGTAAACAAATCAATTTAATTCCAAACAAATCATTCAAACAGTAGTCATCGATTATTTTTCGACGAATTCGTATTTAGTTAATATTTCATAATATTTTTGATTTTTTTTTTTTAAATCGGTTTAAAGTTGTTCTGTTTATTCAAAAGTATCCAGCTCCAGTTGATCCTTATTGATTTATCTCGCTGCAGTGTTTTCTTAATTCTTATCTAAAGGTTCTTCAAAAATTTTAATATTTCCCAAACAACAAGTTTTAAATTTCGTTTAAAGAATGCTAAAACGACCTTTGCAAAGAATGGCTTTATCTTTTAATTAGACCATGTCAGAACATTTAGATTTTTAATCGAAAGTGAAATGTCACAATATTTTGAAAAAGGAATTGAGTCTTTGCCACAAACTAAAATTTTCTTTCCAACCTGATGATGTAAACGATGTAAACCTTTGATATTTCAAACATATTATTATTTGATCTAACAGAATTTACAGTTTGACATATCTAACCTCTACGACATTGGGTTGCAAAGTTATGAAATTTGAAAGTTTGTGGCAACCACTCATTTCCTTTTTAACAAAATATTGCATTTGATATAAAACAATGCAATGACCTTCTTCAAAGTTAAGAGTAAATTAGTGAAGACTAAATTGTATAGATTTTAGAGCTTAAAAACTACAGATAAAGTTTTTTCACGAGGAAAACTACTGAATATAATCAAAAGAAAGTAAATTGTATTTTACACCTCCTTTTCCTTGTTAGCAGGGCGGCACTAAACTGGAAAACAGTTATTTTACAAATATAACTTTTAGAAACTATTTGTTTGTATTTCTCAGGAATTTATTATCTTTTGAAAAGTTCTTTCCTATTATCTGACATTTAATTGAATTCGTTTAAAGAATTTAGAGACTCACCATTTCAGTCCGATTTTCTAATTAATTTCAGATATTTAAAATATGCCTTTTTAAATGCCTTGGCAAAATAGCTAAGGTCGAAAGGTCAAAACTAGACCTGTTTGTGGAGACTTACCTTTGTTAATTAGATGGCATTTAAATGAACTGTAGGGGGGAGGGAAGGTAACCTCCCCCAGACACAGCTTCAGAACCTCATTTACCTATTTGATGCAGTGCGCGTCCCCAAAGAGCTTCCGAACCTCCCTCAAACAGTCTTCTGGGAATGATCTTCCATTTTTAATCGTCAATTTCTACTTAAAACGGGACTAATTCGATAATTTAAGCAATCTAGTCCATCTATAGTATCCTTAATTTCATAATATTTGTATTTCCTTTTTACAATCAAAGTTTGAACAGGAAAAATCAGAACTTTGTAGATATTGTTTCATATCACGCCCCCGGCGGCCCCCTCCCCCCAGGTGTATTAATTTAAGTCTGTAAAAGGGAATTTTGGCAAAGCTCTAGTTAAAGAAAATGTAATTATCTTTCGAACTATATGTATTTCAAACAGAGGCGTATTCGAGTGGTGGGTAGGGGGCTAAGCCCCCCCCCCTGGACTGGACCAGTGAAATCTATTGATTTCAGGGGGTTTTCAGGCCCCAGCGGGTGCTGAGCCCCCCCATGGAAAGAAAAAAATGTAAGCCCCCCCCCCTGAATTCCCTCATTTCAAATCTGTAGCGCTTGTAAAAAAAAGGCGGCAATAGTTTTAAAATAGTTTTGTTTTTTTTAAATATCTCAATAACTAGAAAGTAACTAGAAAGAAAATTTACATAGGGCAATGTTTTTCTTAGAATCAACATTTTATGAAGAATATTTTTATTTGTCTACTTTGTAGAAACTATTCATAAAAATGCGGCAGCCATTCCCAGATTTGTTCAGAAAAAAAATCTACAAATTTTTCATTTTTCCAGACCGATCTTTAATTTTAAAAAAAATATATTATGCACATTTTAAGAATACATTGACTAGCGTGCTTAAATTACCATTTTAAGTAGACATCGACGATTGTAAATACAAGATCATTCCCGGAAGACTGTTTGGGGGAGGTTCGGAAGCCCTAATAGGACGCGCACTGCTGCAAATAGGTAAAATGAGGTTCGGAAGCTGTGCGGGGAGGTTGCCTACACTTCCTCACTGCAGGCGTAATTTCAAGTGATCTTTTATTTGTAAAGTGGCACTTGTTTAAGGGACTTTAAGTAGGCATAACTTCAAGTGACCCTCCATGCAAAGATGACAATGCCCGATTTAAAATGGTACCGTTGGAAGCTTTGTCTGCTCAAGTATGAATTCTTTATCAATGATTTGTTTCTTTAAAATGTTTGTTTCCAATTGCGGTTTCTTTGCGAAAGTTGCTTGCGCATTTGTTGACAGAAGAGGCATTGGAAAAATTCGCAGAAATAAACACTTTTCAGAAAAACGAAGGTATCTTCCACATTTTTATAAGATGAAGTTTCAAGGGTACCGAATTGTAAATCGGGCATCGACATCTCCGCATGGTAGGTCACTTGAAATTACACGTACAGTCCCTTTAAGCTATGGAAAACATGCCATTATTGATGAAATAAAGGTTTAAAAGGTACTGGCAGGACCCTCTTTAACTGGAGGCCCAGTTCACGTTCATCCGAAACTGAACAATGTGTTTTCTGACCATAAGGGATTTCTGTACCAAGGGTTTTCGATCTAAAATTGTGGAAGATCTTAAAAGGTTGGATTTTGGATGATGGTTAGACGTATTTATAATTGGGAGTCGATTTGAACCTGTTAAAAACAACTCGATTTTTTCTTTAAAACAGAAACTATACTCGATAATAAGATTGGATATCCTTTAGGTCGGTTTCCGCTAAGTCAGTTTCCACAGTACATGAAGGATCACTTGAAATTATAGCGGTCCTTCATCTAATGGATTGTGCATCTCTATGTATAATCTTAAGTAGCAAAGAATAGTTTTTAATTGCAAATATTTTTTAGAAAACTTGAAAACGAAGCCACTCATTTCTCTAATTGTCAAGTTTTAAATGAATTTTTAAATTATCTGTTTTTCAGAAAATCGTACTTTTTCCTTGTGACCTTATAATGTAGACAGTGCCTACATTGTTTAAGTTTTTGTTTCTGTGAAAGCGTTTTTAACTTTTAACTTTTTACAAAAATGAAATTTTGTCATATAAATGCATTAATGTGTACGTCAATTATAAAAGAGCAGAATATTGCATTTTCAGAATTTCGGTGGTTTTTTTCTACATTTTCAAGCATTTTTTTCATTCGAATGTTGGAAAGATAAGGTTAAAAAAATCTTATTTGTTTTAAAGGGAATGTTTAAGAGTATATTCAAGTGACCCTCCATGCAAATATTTTGTATTTTTCATGATCTGAAGTTACTTTTGAAAACATTTATTCCTGTTTCGAGGATTTTTTTTGATGAAGACGACATTTTCATATTTTCCAGGAATGTTCGAAAATCCAGCGCCAGCGAAAATTATTTTAAAAAAACAAAATCAAAACTATTATGAAATATTAACTATATACGAATGCGTCGAAAAATAATCGATCACTATTGTTTGTAATATCTGAATGATTTGTTTGGAATTAAATTGATTTGTTTACATCCGAGTTGAATGTTGCATCTTTCTGAATTTGTATGGACACTACGTTCTTTTAACAATTTTCTTCTTATAGACGCAACAGATAGAAGTAAGATTAGTAGCGATTAAAAGCGCTTTTTTATCGCATTAAGCCTATACCCCCTTTCATTTTTCGCGAACACTCCCTTTAAAAAAGAATAATTGTTTAGGAAATTTTGAGAATAAACATATTTAGGGTTTTAAGGCATTCAATTAGTTTTTGAATTTGAGTATTTTTAGAAATACATTTTGTGGGTTTTCAATTATTGACAGATCTTATGGTTCAAAAACAATAAACATTTCCATTCAAGAAAAAACTATTTCGCAGATTTTTTTCAACTGTGAGAAACTGTGAGTTTATATTTTAATTGATAGTTTATAAAAATGTTAATATGATTTGTATATTTTAGTTGATAGTTTATAAAAATGTTAATATGATTTGTATATTTTAGTTGATAGTTTATAAAAATGTTAATATGATTTGTATATTTTAGTTGATAGTTTATAAAAATGTTAATATGATTTGTATATTTTAGTTGATAGTTTATAAAAATGTTAACATGATTTGTATATTTTAGTTGATAGTTTATAAAAACAATAATATGTTTTGTATATTGTAGGATGTCTCCAAGTCGGTTTGCAAAAGACAGAAAAGCTCGGGATGTAACGCCCTACAGAGAGGAGCCCGCCCCTGCTTCTGTTATTCCCTTCCGTCCAACAACACCCCATCCCGACCGTCAGCCCTCCCCCATTGTCGACCGGCCGGTGACCCCTGCGCCACCGGAGTGGACGTCTGTAGACGCGCCGATCAACTTTACCTGGGTGATCCCTGATGAGCTGTGTGGGATGGGTTGGCCGAAATCCAGGGATCAGGTAAAATTAACGATACAGTGCTCGTCAAAATAAACTGGAATGGAAAAACAGCTTTCAGACAATTGCAACTTTATATTGTAGGCCATGGATATTTCAAATTTTGAAAACTTTCTAAAAATGAATAATCATAATCAGAAAGACCCGGAATCAGTTGATATTTAATCAGGCAACCTTTCTAATATGTCTCTGGCAATTTCAGATGCTAAAAAAAGGCAGACCACATAAAATGTTATAAAATATTAAGCCTTGGGTTTGAGTGCTATACTGAGCATCATTTCTAAAACTATTTATAAAGGAATTGAGTTTTTGCCACAAACTCAAATTTTCGAATCCTAATATCTTGGCAACCTAATGGTGGAAACCCTTGATATTTCAAACTTGGGCTATTTGATCTAACAGAATTCATAGTTTGAAATATCTAACGTCTACGAAATTGGATTGCAAAGATATAGGTATTAGAAAATCAGAGTTTGTGACAAAGACTCAATTCCTGATTATGATTATTATTAAAACAAAAAATCGTTATTATTTTTTGAAATATAGAATTTCAAATCACCCACTTTTTTGTCCAGTGATGAATTATTTGAAATTTAGTTGACGATCCTTTTAACAATCCTTACTCCAGGTTCGGTTCCTGGTAGAGCAGGGAATAGATCACCTGGTTTCCCTGTCCCCGGAGAAGATTCCTCCTCACTATGCATTCCCGAACCTGAACCATACCTTGATCCCAGTGGAAGATTTCACCGGGCCAACTATAGCGGAGATTCAAAAGTTTCTTGAGATTACAGATGATGCGAGGAGGGACGGAGAAGCAGTTGGGGTTCATTGCGCAGAAGGAAATCCTTAACTTTTATGATCTTTAATCTCACTCCTAATCCTGATATCTTGAGTTGCAGATGAGCCTTCTGAATAAACTCTTTAGGACGGGAAGTTTTGAATTTCGAAGTTTAGCTTCAAAATTGGTGTCAGAACGCCCGAGGGCGAAATTTTTATATTTTAATCCTGTGATTTGTCATTTCCCCCTCGAGACAGTTCAACCTCGGACGTTGAATATCAGACCTCATTGGTTTTGGGCGCTAATCTCTCAATTTAAAAGCAGACGCAGAGATAAAAAAAATTTCGCCCTCAAAATAGATTTACTGATTTATTTTTGGTCAAACAACCGAATTTTACTTTAAAAACGTGAGACTGAAAGCTACTTTGGGGGTTGAACTCGAGGAAATAAATCTAAATCTAGAAAAATTTGTCTATTTCCATTTGGAACAAGCAAGTGTCTCTGATTGGGCGAAAAGTGCTATTTTTCAACGAAAAAATATAAATGTCCAATAGTTCATAATCGATGCGTTTGTTTGTGAACTTTTTTTGGGGACGAAATCTGGAAATCTTTTATTTTTACTTATATAATGTTTACTTAACAACGTTTTTTTGCTTTCTCCTAATTAACTTTCAGATTTGAATACAGTGAGACCCAGAGGTATGGGCAGAAGTGGGGATCGACTGGGGGAGGGGAGGTCAGGGAATAAAGTTGAATTTATTTTCCTTCTAAATCTCAGTGGAAACCAGGCGTTTAGGCGTAAATTACCCGGGAATGCGTCTTTCCACAAATCTCATCAAAATTTTATCAGTTTTAGAATATTTAGATAAAACAGTCTGGGAGGGGGGACATGTGATTTTAACAGATAAATCATAAATTGTCCTCCCTGTCCTCTAAAGTTAAGGATTATAGCCTCCATATTAAGTATAATGTCCTTCATGTCCTGCCTAAGGTTAAGGAGTATGTCCCCCTGTGTCCTCTAAAGTTAAGAATCATGTTCTCCCTGTCCTCTAAGGATTATATCCTCCCTGTCCTTTACGATTAAGAATTATATCCTCCTGTCCTTTACGATTAAGGATTATATCCTCCCTGTCCTTTACGATAAAGGATTATATCCTCCCTGTCCTTTACGATTAAGGATTATATCCTCCATGTCCTTTACGGTTAAGGATGATGTCCTCCCTGTTCTCTTTATGGTTTAGGATGATGTCCTCCATGTCCTCAAAGATTAATAATTATGTTTTCCCTGTCCTGTAAGCCTAAGAATGATGTCCTCCCTGTCCTGTAAGTTTAAGGATTATATCCTCCCTGTCCTTTACGATTAAGTATGATGTCCTCCCTGTTCTTTATGGTTAAGTATGATGTCCTCCCTGTTCTTTATGGTTAATGATGATGTCCTCCCTGTCCTCAAAGATTAAGAATGATGCCATCTCTTTCCTATAAGGTTAAGGAGAATATCCTCCCTGTTCTGTAAGGCGAAGTATGATCTCCTCCCTGTCCTGTAAGGTGAAGTATGATGTCCTCCCTCTCCTGTAAGGTAAAGGATGATGTTGAGTAGGACGAGGACGGACTGGCGTAATGTGTGCCTGTTATCTGATCTATTATTATGATATGGAACCCTGGGATGCAATCAGGATCATGAGAAGACAAAGACCAGGTTAAGGTTTTAGATAATTCAGAGTATTCTTGGAATGGAATTAAATTTTCGCGACAAACTCAAATTTTCTTATCCTTATGTCTTTGTAACCCGATGGTGTACACCTTTAAATTTTTAGACTTAGATTATTAGATCCAACAGAATTCATAGAGTCTACCTTTACCACATTGGCTGGGATAGATATAAGGATTAGAAAAACAGAGAAGGTGGCAAATCTATTTTACTTAAAAAACACAGAAGGAAGCATAATGCTGTGGAATAGGAAGACGACTGTGAGACTCACGTTACAGATTTGAATTGTTTAATGAAACACGGCAATATGGAATAGTTTGATTTTTAAACTTTAACTGTTAAAACTGTTCTCTTTATAATATCTGTAATTTCCTAATGGTGGCTAAAAATAATTTTCTCTTTAAATAACTATAGCTTGGAAGCCGAGCATTACCTTGAATATAAACTTTCGCTTTAAAAGTCAACCCACTCAACCTATAAATGTTAAACCAAAATAAAAACATTTCCGTCTCAAGAATACTACTTTGTGTATATATGTATTTAATCAGGGAGTGTCGAGAGAAAGGTTCAAGAGGAAACTGTGGTTAGATTCTTCACGTTGCTCCAGGTATATTTTTCAATAGGAAATATGTATAGTTGGTGCTCGGTTAGATTCTTCACGTTGCTCCAGGTAAACTTTACAATAGGAAATGTTATTGGAGCTCGGTTAGACTCCACTTCTTGGTCCAGGTATACTTTTCATTAGGAAATATTGTTGGTGCTCGGTTAGATTTTGCACGTTGCTCCAGGTATACTTTTTATTAGGAAATACGCATAGTTGGAGCTGGGTTAGATTCTTCACGTTGCTCCAGGTACACTTTTCAATAGGACAAATGTATAATTGGAGCTGGGTTAGATTCTTCACGTTGCTCCAGGTATACTTTTCAATAAGGAAATGTTATTGAAGCTCGGTTAGATTCTCCACGTGTTACTCCATGTATACTTTTTAGTAGGAAATATGTATAGTTGGAGCTGGGTTAGATTCTTTACGTTGCTCCAGGTATACTTTTCAATAGGAAATGTTATTGGAGCTCGGTTAGATCTCCACGTGTTACTCCAGGTATACTTTTTAGTAGGAAATATGTACAGATGGAGCTGGGTTAGATTATTCACGTTGCTCCAGGTATACTTTTCATTAGGAAATGTTATTGGAGCTCGGTTAGATCTCCACGTGTTACTCCAGGTATACTTTTTAGTAGGAAATATGTAAAGTTGGAGCTAGCTTAGATTCTTCACGTTGCTCCAGGTATACTTTTTAATAGGAAATTGTTGAAGTTCTTTAAGTAGCTTTTGAGTGACACTCTTTAAATAGCTTATGACATTATTTGAATAGTTTATCCCACTCTTTCAATAATTTATAACTCTTTTCAAATAGCTAATACCCATCCATAAATAACTATTGGCAGTTTAAAAAGCTTAAAATATTAAAATTGAATAGTACTAGTTCAAAAAAGGCAATATGTTAGATCTCTGACTAGTGACTATAAACACGAGGTTTTTTCTTTCTAATTAACAAGTTAAAATATTGAATGTTGAAATTTGTCCGCGATCAAATGATGCAGGATCAAATAAAATCTGCAAATCTTTGAAACCTAAGAGTTTAAGTCGTCCACATGAATATTTTAATTTCTTTCAACATTTACAATTTTTAGATTTTTCATGAATTTTTATCAAAGTATTAACATTTAGCACATGATTTTAATTTATTTATTAATGTATGTGAGCTTTTCCTTTTGAACCGGAGACACATTAATCTAATCTTGTGTTTAGGATTATGGGAAGAATAGAGAACCTGGAGATTTATTAATCTAATCTTGTGTTTAAGATTATGGGAAGTGTAGATAACCTGAAGAGTGGAGATATATTGAAATAATCTTGTGTTTAGGATTATGGGAAGAATAGAGAACCTGGAGATTTATTAATCTAATCTTGTGTTTAAGATTATGGGAAGAGTAGATAACCTGAAGATGGAGATATATTGAAATAATCTTATGTTTAGGATTATGGGAAGATAAGAGAACCTGGAGATATATTAATATAATCTGGTGTATAGGATTATGGGAAGAGTAGTTTAGAGAACCTGGAGAAAAGAGAGAAAGATCTTCTTGAAAAGGAAAAAAGACAACAAGCGGAACTTATCAGGTGAAAAAACATTGTGAATATTTGCGTAACATTTTCGAATTTTCAAAAACCTCATTTTCTTCAATTTGTTAAGCATTCCATCTTGGCAAAATACGTTTACATTTGAAACATTTTATAGTTGTTTCGCATAATTTCTGAAGAATTATGTGCAAAAATCCGCATATGTATGAACTTTAATTTCATATGTTCTGAAACAAATCAATTCCTGTGAACTAGTTTGAAAATCTTATCAGCTTTAGGTGTGCTTTATTCAGCACACTTTGGTGGCTAATCTTAGGTCAAAACTTATGTAGTTTTAATCCCAGGATTAAACAGTTATATCGTCCAACGGATTAGATTAATCCCTCTTGGTTATCCCGTACGGTCGGAAGTTTGGAACCGAGCAGAGATTGAGAGAATAAAACCTAATCCAGTTTCTAAGTTTAAAAGTTTCCACAGTGGATATCGAGATCAAATGTTGCAGATTATCGTTATCTCACACTAACGCTTAGCAGCACACATGATATAACTGTATTATTATATATAACTTTTTCCAATAATATTTTTTGTATTTTGAAATTTTCCATTTCTATTTTAATTCTCTCTTTTTCCTCCTTTTCCGTTTTCCTTGTTCTCTTGTACTTTCTGCATGCAAAATATATAGGTTGCCATGCAAATACTTCGCAAATTAAATCATTCTTCATCCTCGCAATTTTCGCCTTGGCAGATATTAGTTTTTGCACACTACAAGTTTGCAAAAAAAACCTTTTTGCCAAATTTGTTGTTAGGTCGGTAAAAGATTGCATAAAATATAATTTCAAATCTTAAATACATCTACATAAAAACAAGGTCAGATGCTAAAAAAATGATAAAAAAATAAAAAATATTTCTGAGAGTAAAATTTGTATTTACTACTTTCAACTATTTGGGGAAATTTCTGAATATTTTTAGAATATTTTTTTAAAATATCTATTTCTATCTACGCACTGCAAGAAAGTCAGTCACTAAGGGCCATACTTTACTAGCCAGGACCGGGGGGGGGGGGGGGGGGGGGGGGGGGGGGGGGGGGGGTATGAAACTTAGCACGTTTAGTGTTATATATATCATCACTGATAAGAGAGTTTCGATAAGACATTTTACACACTTTTATTTCACCTCTCCTCTCTTCATGTAAGTACGTCTGAAAATATCTTTAGAAATGATAAAAAAAACAATTAGGAAAGTTTAACAACAATTGCATGAAAATGCATCTTTACACATCTTGGAAGTCTTTTCCTTGGATTGTCTTTGTTCTGTTCTGTTGTTGTCCTATAGCCTGTTCTAGCTTTTACAAGTCTAGGATACACCCAAAGACCGAATTTAAAAAATTTGAGCCACGGTTTAAGTCGCGGCTCAAATTTTGTTGGTTCCACTTAAATTTTTATTACATTTTTCAATTGAACCCGGTGTTTTGGGAATTTTAGACGCGGCTTAAATTCATTAAATTCGGACACTGATTAATTATTTTATTTGTTATTATTTCAAATTTTACAAAAAAATAAATTTGGTTTCTACTTGCAAAACAATGCTGGAGCAGGTGATGAAATTCCAAACAAGCCGGTCAATTAGCAAACTGTTTTTTACCTTCATCTAAACTCCATTTTGTAAACTTTTTTTGAACTGTTTAAAACATTTTTTACTTTTCTGCTTTTACTTAAGAGAGTCGAAAAATGTTCAGGTGTAAATAAACAATTCAAGATTAAAATATTCCGAAATGAAAAATTAGCAAAAACATTTTTAAAGATCTTTTTAGTTATTTTTTGTAGGAAGATAATTATTGATTTTTGAAAGAAAAGAGTTTTTGTTTTTAAATTTTATATTTCAGCTCCTCGTTTTCTAATTCTAACCCTGGGTAGTTAAGTAGGACTGAAAGATAAATGAGAAACAGAATGATTGTATTATGTAGTGTTGAAAACTAGAAACAAATGTCTAGGGTAGATATTCAAGGACGCAGGATATTTCAAAAAAACTTTTCTACTTTATATAAAATGTTTTAATTTTTAAGGGACGAGCTCTGTTTACTTAAAAACCTTTCAACGTTTAATGTATAAAATGAAATTCCCACTGACCATCTAAGCAAAGATGGCCATGCCCGATTTACAACGGTACCCTTGAAACTTTTATCTGATCCATAACATGGAAGATATTGTTGTTTTCTAGGTTATATATTGTTTGACTCTGCAATGGAAATTTGCACTTTTGCAGAGAACCCACAATTGAAAATAATCAGTTTTTGAAATTATAAACGTTGATATCTAGTTCAAACTTGATCATACAAATCTTTTGACATCCTCAACTAAGCTTTCGGTGCGTTCTGCAGTAATTTGCAGTATACTTTAACCGAAGAGATAGTAGCGTTTAGTGGAGTGTGTATAGGGTACCTTTGTGAATTGTCATCTTTACATGGAGGGTCACCTGCTGACGAATAGAGTTCGTGTATGACTGATTTCAGATAAATCCTTCCCACTCTTTTAAACTATGTATTAATCTTATAAAAAGGCCGCTAGCAGATCATGAACCTGACTTTGAAAAATGTATGTAAAAATGTATATGGTTGTGAATCGTTAATAGTATATTTTTTTAATTAAGAATTTACTAATTACTTTGTTTAGTCTCTTTCAGTTGTATTTAACACAAATACAGTTACTAAGTTTGTACCTTTACTTTTCCTACAGTTGCATTGAGTAGCTGTTAGATGATTAAAATTGATTTTCTCAACCCAATTAGAAACAAAACTACTCTCACAAAACTTTAAAGAATTTCTCAAATCAGAAAATGCTATTTTTTATCTAGAATCCTAGAGTTCTTTCTCAGGAAGAGTGCACGAGATGTTTCTCTAAAACTAGGTTATTCTGATAAAGATTGTTTTGCATCATGTATCTAGAGTGTCTGTATCTAATAGGATTGTTTTGTATCATGTATCTAGTGAGTCTGTCTCTAAAAGGATTTTTTTGCATCATGTATCTAGGGTGTCTGTATCTAATAGGTTTGTTTTGCATCATGTATCTAGGGTGTCTGTATCTAATAGGATTGTTTTGTATCATGTGTCTAGGGTGTCTGTATCTAATAAGATTGTTTTGCAGCATGTATCTAGGTAATCTGTCTCTAAAGGGATCGTATTGCATCATGTATCTAGGTTATCTGTCTCTAAACGGATCGTATTGCATCATGTATCTAGGTTATCCGTCTCTAAAGGGATCGTATTGCATCATGTATCTAGGTTATCCGTCTCTAAAGGGATCGTATTGCATCATGTATCTAGGTTATCTGTCTATAAAGGGATCGTATTGCATCATGTATCTAGGTTATCTGTCTCTAAACGGATCGTATTGCATCATGTATCTAGGTTATCTGTCTCTAAAGGGATCGTATTGCATCATGTATCTAGGTTATCTGTCTCTAAAGGGATTGTGTTGCATCATGTATCTATATTTTCTGTCTTCAAATGGATTGTTTGAATTATGGATTTCCCTCTCTAAAGGGATTTAATTAGCATGTTTTGGAAGTCCTAGTATTGAACATATATTTTGTCAAATGTAAAACTTTTTTCGGTCATTAAAATAAACAACTTTCATATCTTTAATCCGTTGACTAAAAATAAAGTCTCTAATGAACCTCGAAATTCGTTATCTCCTAAACTGAACAAGAGGACAAGGATCGAAGACTGATAAAGCTCTAGGTTTTTATATGCTAGAAACAGGATAGGTTGGTTCAGATGGATCAAGGATGGATAGATGAAGTTAGAATGGTATTTTGGAATTATGGCAGATTGTGGTTCACGTGTAAATTTTAGGGAACTTCAGATTTCTTTTTTTATCCAAATTAGATTTATCACATTCAGGGTTAAATACATAGGATGAGACTCAAGGAGTATGAAATAGAAGGGAGATACAACTGACACGGCCCGCCCTACCATATGATTGTAGACGGTACTTCTGTTGTATAAGAAATGTTTGTCTGATGTACCATTACTGCGTATACAATAACCTATTCTGAATATTTCTTATACAAATGTAGTACCGTCTGAAAAGCATGTATAATCATATGGTAGGGCGGGCCGCGTCAATTGTACTCCTTCATGAGACTTCAGAGACGAGTGCACGTAATTTATAATTTCTGTTTCCTTATATTCATTAAACGTAATATTAATTTAATAAGCTAATTAAAGACTATATTTAAGGCAGAAGACTTAATCAAACCTTGATATCGTACTGCTTTAAAAGTTTAAGGTCGTCTTTCGTCATCCTTTGCGGGTAAACCTGTACACACACACACAAATTCAATTTACTTTCAGCCACCATTTTGTTAAAATAACAAAGAGGAGATATATAAAAATATTTCAAGGCAAATTTTCCGGACTTTTCAAGGTTTCAGATTCTTTTAATCAAATTATAAAGACGCAGAAAATGGGGAGGAGGGTTTAAGATGGAAAATCTAAAGACAAATATTTACAAATTTTAAAAAAATGTATTAATTAATTGTGTCTTAGGGAATGCGAACTCTCATATAGGAGATTTCACCAGTAATATATTTGTTAAACGGCCGCCGAGAATGATTTCAACATTTTTGAATCAATTTAAATTATTTTTGTCTAAAAAATATTCAATTACATTGTTTGGTATTAAAATTACATCAATATCAAGCCAAGTTAACTATAAAGATTAAGTCTTATTGATAATTTGGAACGTTTTATGCCACGATAGCAAGGGTTCCTGTATTGATACAAAAAAAAAGAATGTTTTAAAGACAAAAATTTAGTGTTAAAATCAGAAAACTTTAGAATTGTGGATATGGAGATCAATGCTTGATCTCTCAATGCTTGATCTCTCAATGCTTGATCTCTCACTGCTTGATCAATGCTTGATCTCTCAATGCTTGATCAATGCTTGATCTCTCAATGCTTGATCAATGCTTGATCTCTCTATGCTTGATCAATGCTTGATCAATGCTTGATCTCTCTTCAAAACAAAAAGAGGAGATCAATAACTCTAAAACTTAATCATGAAAATTTTAGACAGCCTCGACTTTAAAGTGTCGCAACGCCTTGATCTTTGTTTTTACCCTACGAACTTACCTATACTTTTTTTGTTTCCAGTGAGCATTGATCTCGATATCCAAAATTTTAGAGTTTTCAGCTTATCTGTAAATATTCAAAGTTTTATGAATGAGAATTAATGTTATCTATACAAGAGTTTCATATTAGGTAACCCTGTATCTTTACAGAAGTTTCTTTATATGTAACCCTGTATCTTTACAGAAGCTTCTTTATATGTAACCTTGTGTCTTTACAGAAGTTTCTTTATATGTAACCTTGTGTCTTTACAGAAGTTTCTTCATATGTAACCCTGTATCTGTACAGAAGTTTATTTATGTGTAACCTTGTATCTTTACAGAAGTTTATTTATATGTAACCCTGTATCTTTACAGAAGTTTCTTCATATGTAACCCTGTATCTGTACAGAAGTTTATTTATGTGTAACCCTGTATCTTTACAGAAGTTTATTTATATGTAACCCTGTANATTTATATTAAATCTATAAAAATTGTGGATTGAATAATAAAATAAAATTCATGAATAAAATGTTCCTTCCAAAACCATCTTATTTTACAAACAAAGCAATAAAAAAAATAAGATAAAAATTAAGTTAAAATAATGTTTTTTTGAATAAAAATGAAATCATATTCTGTTTATGTTCCAGGAGATGAATGCCATGAAGCTAAAGACCCATATCCGTTCCTTACTCCAGGGAGATAAACCTAACCGTTCCAGATCCTTCCGTAGGAACAGGGAGGAGGAGGACGGGAGTGATACGGATCGACGATCCCGCGCAACGACTCCGTCCGGCAGAGCGCTCTTGGAGGAGGTCAGCCTGAAACCGGTTGGGGAGCGGAAGATCCCTGGTCGGTTGGACCCCCCAGAGCAGGAGGAAAAGTGTGAACTGAAAAATCATTTCCGGGATTTTATGAAAACTCCCGCGTTGGTTAAACGAAATCGATCCTTCTCCCAACCCCGGGATAAGGAGAAAGGGAGCGGCTCTGAGAGTTTGTCCCGAAAAGAAAGTTTTGAACACAAAAATCCGGCGGAAGGATCAGACCAAGAGAAGTGTGAACTGGCGAACCATACACAAAGGTTTCTAAAGAGAAAATCGTTGATTAATCCTAACAAAATGTCAGATGACTCAGATACGGATAGTATAGTTAAGGATAAACCTACAGATCAGGACGTATCTGCGTCTGATAATGAAAATGAACTAGATGATAGTCCTACTAATATAGTTTATAGTAAACCTCCGCCTGCCAAAACAGTGGCGGATAGTAACACTTATAGAAGAATTAGACCCAAAAACGGTGCGAATGAAACCACTCCGCCCACTCGTAGGTTTGACCGTCGCCTTCGATCAAAGTCTGATATTACGGTTCCAAAGAATTACTTTATGGACGAGGAAGCACAGACTGTTACAGAGGAAACGACGGATAATCCTGAAGTGGAGGAAAGTGAGACTAAAGCTCCCGACCCAGCGCCAACTGATGTTAAAACAGAACTGACAACAAATGCTGAACTGGAATCCAACAATATCCCAACCCCTACAGAAACAAAAACTGATACGTTGTCTGAAAACTGCTATAACAAATTTCATGATCGACAGAGAAGACGCAGAAGTAATGCAATCATTGCTGATATTGAGAACGTCTATTTGTCTGCCACCTTGAAGGTTGTCAACTCCGTTCCAAAACCGTTTGTTGCTAACATCAAACCGACGGAGGATGAGGACAAAACGTCCTACAATATTTCCTATACATTAGACAACCCGGAGAAAAAGTTTTCTCGTTCAGACAAGGAAACTAGTTTTGAAAATGAAGTAGGAGAGAGAATAGAACCTTACAGCACACTAGGATATAGCTCTTCAACCTCAGATATAATGAATGCCTGTAAAAGTGGTTTACGAAGGTTAACCTACAGGAAGACCTACTCTAGGTCTAGATCTGGTCCCAATGAGATAGATCAGGATAAGAACAACAATTTCTCCGAAAAAGGAAGAGATGAGAGCCCAAAAACGACATATACTACCATGTCATCAGGTTCTAGGTTACCAAACCGTCCTACTACTCCAGGTCCCTACCTAAGCTCTAACTCCAGCCTGGGATCTAGTCTTTACACAATGAAGAGGCCAACCACTCCGGGTCCGTTTACTAGAGACAGTTGGAAGAGAACTAACCAGAGGTTTAACTACACAAAGATACTTCACTGTACAGGGAGAGAAACATACCTTTAGATGGAGTAATGGAAAAGGTGAAGAAATTGGTAAAAGACTAAGAGATAAAAAAGAGCAAAAGAGTAAGAATAAAATTTTGGAGTTAGGAGATGGGGGGGGGGGCTGGGGAGGGTAGCTTGGCAAAGAGAATGAAGTAAAATAGGGGTTTTTATGATGGGAGCATGCAGAGGGGGGGGGGGGCGGGGGTAATAGTTAAATAACTCTATATGTGTGGAAAGCTAATAGGACTGTAAGCCAAGACAATAAATGATGTTTCAGCCTCACTGCACTTTTCCACTACTAGAGTTTAATTTAGAAATAGTAGAAATATTTTTCTTTTTCAAACTTTCTAGAAGTTCTAGGCTTGCCTTTGTTTCAAGCTAATATTTATATATTTGAGACACATTAGGTGGAGCGTGTGTTTGTTCATGTGTGTCCTAATAGCTAGTGACAGATCCCAATTAAATGATAATATATATTTCAAAATCCTAATATGTCAAACCCTTTTTCCTGGACCTTGTATTAATTCGACCGAGTTTTTTTTTCATAATATTTCTTCATTCATGATTTTTTTTCAGGCCCCTGTATCTTCCCCTTAAACCTTCACACATCCAACACAAGAAGAGACAAAGCGTCAGCAAAAAAGTGTGCAAAGATTTTGCGCGTGATTTTAAAAACGGGGGAATTAGTTTCACTAGTGGCAACTTTCCCCAACATCTGGAAATTTCAGACATAGGAGGAAAATCAAGTGATGAGGCAATATTGTCTCCGACGGATTACTGCCCTTGTTTGGACAAAGAAGATGGACAAATTGTAGAAACTTTAATCGTCCCGAATCGTCGCAGTTCTTTCCAAGACACTAGTCCCACATCCCTCCCGTCTGAGTCGGATAAAGACTCCGGACACAGTTCTAAGTTCTCCGCAAGGGAAGAACCAGACAAGGTTGAGAATGACACTGATATAAGTGAGTTTAGTGATGATGATCAGGAGAGAAGAGTAGAGCAGGAAACAGAGGTTCGTTCCAGGATCCCGTTCCAGAGAAAAGTATGGAATCGTAGAAACGGTCGGTACAGAGTAAGACAAGGCGAAAATACCTACTCCCACGATTATTTCTCTCCATCTCCAAACCCTACTAGAGAAATATCAACCCAATCTTCGATCCATGATCAACTGATCAACCTGAAAGCTGAGATTGCTGCTATGAAGCAGGAGATTGCAGAGATGAATGAGGAAACTGAAACCGACACTGAGGAGGAAGAGAACGACCTGGAGGAGAAAGAAGGAATCTCAAAGAGAAATTTTGAGGAATCATTGGAGGGAGAGTTATCTTACTTCTCTGACTGTTCTGTAAGTGAATATGATTATTTAGACTACAGTGATGAACAAGAAGAACTTTCAGATGAGGAGGAGGAGGTGGAGGAGGAGTAATAAAACTTGTAAATTTTGAGACTTACAAAATACATGGTTAATCAAAACATTTTGAAAAAAATCTCCAAATCTTAATTCTCAATTGCTGGAGAATTGTTCTATATACATATATAATTTTTTTATTTCATCCTTTATACCTAGTGACAAATAGACTTAGTTGCATTAAAACTAGATTGTAAAGATAGAACAAAATGCAATAATTATTTAGTTGATCTAACACGTTCTACACTATACCACACTGTGAAACTTTTGAGCTGCTAGTGATTTTTACAGTGATCATGATAAATTAATTTTCTGAATAAAATCTGTGATATAAATCTCTCTGCTACTCATTCAAAACTAAAGAAAAATTAAAAGATGAATGTTTTCACGTCAATTTAACCTTGAACATACATATACGTCTGAATGCAAAAAAACATGCTTCTCCTTGAGATGGGATAAAAAATCACTTTTGATAGATAAAATCTTGGGTGATTAGTTCATTCATTAAGACATATAAAACGTTTTAATGATGCATAATTACTGAGTTTGAGTGCAAAGTGACGTTCAAAATCATCCATTTGGGTCTTCAGAATCGATTTTTTAAAATCAAGAAATAACGACGACAAAGAATGGGAAAAAAATCTACAATAAGCTTATTAGATGTTTAGGAACATATTTCTCAATTGAAATTTTCTTAATAAATCAATTTTAGAATCAATTATTTCTTCTTCATCATTATATTGAATTTCTTCGCGGATTTCTTCGAATTCTTCAAATGTCGTCTTTTCGATGAAAATTCTAGTAAATCTACAGAAAATGTTTGTGAGCAATGAGACATTGTAGAAACTAATAACTGCATTAGATTACTTATTTTCGATGATAATAGTTAGTTTTTATTTTCTCAACCTGTTACTAAGTTAATTTACTGTAAAATTTTTACTACATTTTTAATTATTCACCTCATAAGTCAATTGGTGTTTGATAAGATTCTATTTGAAGGATAGCTGCCTCTTTGAATCTGCAAGTCTCACACTCAAGCAGCGTTTGACATCCAAATAATATTGACCTCCAAAGGTCGAAGTTTAGAATCACTGAAAATGTGCCATATTATTTATCAAATCATTTGTTTTTATTGTTTTAATTTTATTCCGAGGCCTCTTTAAGATCTGAGATGGTTAGCTGAATATCTCTTGTAAACTTCAATATAAATTTGATCTCAGGAGGTTTAGGCCTAAATTCAAGATAATGCATGGTCAAGATTTATTATGACCATGATATCAGGTAAAGCTGTATTGTGTATGTGTATTTTCAGTACTCTAAATTCAAGATAATGCATGGTCAAGATTTATTATGACCATGATATCAGGTAAAGCTGTATTGTGTATGTGTGTTTTCAGTACTCTAAATTCAAGATAATGCATGGTCAAGATTTATTATGACCATGATATCAGGTAAAGCTGTATTGTGTATGTGTGTTTTCAGTACTCTAAAGTGTGAACTTAATGCGCGTATTTATTATCAATGCGTCATTATTCTTCTCACTTTCTCATTTTTGTTCACAAAAGTGCGTTTTCATTTCTTCAGATGGAAAATGGATGATCTTTATGTTTTTATATCACTCATTCGTCTCTTTTATCGATCTGACCCCATTAACATCTAAATAGAACTTATAGTGGACTATTGATTATCAAATTGACCACCCAACTAATCTTATTGGTTTGCATTGCCCTTCAGGTCGTCAAAACAGAATACTTTCCATACGATTTTCATTTTTTTGTATTAAATATGAAAAATGAAGCTTAAGAAGTTGTTTGTGTCGACTAGAAACATGGTAACAGAAAATAGTCAATTTAAAATTTCTCTATCACTGTCTTCTTTAGTATTTTAGATGCAAACCTAGATCTGTCTTTTCAAAAGCGCTTTTTTATCGCATTAAGCCTTTAACCCCTTTCATTTTTCGCGAACACTCCCTTTAACATTTTGTGTTGTTATTTTAGAATCACCATTTAGTATATATAAATATATTTTTCAACTAGTTTTGAATGATTGTTTGAAAGAGTGGAAAATTGTCCTGTCTTGTAAATGATCCATATCAACCTTCAACTGATGGAATAGATATATACAGACCAGACCCTCACAACTAAATAATCAGAATTCTTCTTCTAAACAAAAATACAGAAAAAAGCGGGTTTGAATTGATGTGAGATTTATGATCCCCCCCCCTGGCACCCTCCTAAGTGTAAAAATACTAGATAAATAAGCAAAGTTCATAGACATGTACATTACTATACACAGATGTACCCGGCGTTGTCCGTGGTATTTTATAGATCTTTAAAATATTGGCGGATAACGAACTCTTGTGTCTAACTATACAAATAAGTTAAGGGTTTTAAAGTTGTCTAAACATACGACAAAACTTATTTTATAAATCTTAAATCTTTGCAACCTGATGTCGTGATTTCAAACCATGAATTCATTCATTAGTTCTTTTATGTAAGTTTAAAATTTCAAAACTTTATACTTTCTAGTTTCTTTGACATGGGGTTTAGAAAATTGAGTTTGAGACAAACGGAGTGTCCCACGAGACATGACAATAGCAAGACAACTTGAAGGTCGTCATTGATCTTTGAAACAACTTGCGGCATGATCATTCAGAAGTAAAGTACTAGAATTATTAATTCCAAAATACCTCTAATCTTGGTATTTTCAAATTGTGGTCTGACTTTGTTTGTATTTTCAACATTACCAGAGATATGAAGAATTTTGTTCAGATTTCGACAAATATTTAATAAATTGAAATATAAATGAAAATCTTAATATTACTTGAGAGCATAAAAAAGGCAGGATTAGGAAAACTTTGTGATTATTGGTTCAAGAATCTATACATAATAAATTGTTAAAGTAGGTTGGTTGACAATTGAATGCCGCAAATAATTTCAAAGATCAACGACGACCTTCGAGTCGTTTTTTTTCTGTCAAATTTTGTTGAACACCCGGTATTATCTTTGGTTAAAAGTTCTACATGATGCATTCTTCCTCAACTGATATTTGACCTTTCAACTAAATATCCCAGGATTTATTTCAGATTTTATCTTAACTATTTGTTTAAAATATTCAAAATTCTTGTGAGAATATAAAAAAAAAACTTTTTTATCTTGTGAAAGCAAAAACATTTGTACTTTAATGGATTCCAATTTAAAATTCAGTGATGGTGATGGACCAAACCTCTGTAGAGTAAAAAAGTAGATGTTAGTTCCACATTTATTGAAAATATATTTCGGTCTGGGTTGACCCTCGTCAGTTCTAACGATATAATAACCATCAAAATCGATAAAAAAAAT